TTGGAAAACAGCCAGAGAAATACATGCATCATTTTGCTGAACAGCCTTTGACAATCTTTATTTCCCATGTGTTTGTTTAACAAAGTGATGCTGAAGCCAAGATATGAAATCTACAAGTCAAAATTTAGTTTTTGTAAAAAAAAAAACCAAACTCGTAAAAAGCCTTAAAATTTTTTTCTTTTTTTTTTTTTTGGTACATTTTGCCTTAACTTTCCAAGATTCTATGATTTTGCCTTGGAAACCAATGACCTTAAAAAAAAAAATTTCTACACACTCAATTTTAAAGTAATGTTTCATAGACAAGCCAATGACTGAAAGTTAAAAAAAATAATCTGAACTTTTTAATATTGTATCTGTCCCCCCAAGAGAAATTAAAAATCATGAACTATGACAGCACTTTTATTACAATTAAAAATAAGTTTACAATACTAAATACCACCAAAAAAAATTCAGAAAGGCAAAGCTAGAAAATGCTAACGGGAAAAGGTCAACAGCAATTCCTAACATTTTATACAGTAGAAATGACCTTGCAATGAGAAAATGATATGTAGGAATTGGAATTAGCCTCCTGATAAGCTACTGATGATTGTTCAAGGGCTGCAAGTTAAAAAGGAATGGAGCAAGAGGTATTCTATACCAATTCTTCCTTTTCATTTTTTATCTATAGCATATTTCAGAGGTTATTACAAAATAAATTCTACAAACTTCCAAATTACAATTCAGACCTATGCATTTTGAAAGCCACATCATCTGTACAGGAGCTGTCCTGACAGCAGAGCTCTGTAGTTCCGGGGTGTTCCAGAACTCCATAAACTTCAAGACCAAGGTTTAATCGGTATTTACAGAAGAGGTTCTTGATTAGCAAATAAATGAAGCACAAAAGTGAGGAAAATCTGATTACATATACACACTGAAAGATCTAAAACCCATGCACAAATCCTGAAGGAGATACCAACAATGTGGTTTCGATAATCTAACAAAAAACACAAAACCTTTTACCACACTTACCAGCAAAGCATTTGGAACAGAGATTCATAGTCTTGCTGGACCTGGGGCAAAAATAAAAAAAAAAAATAGAGCTAAAAAATTCATTATAATTCTAATCGATACAGGGAAGTTTTTTGGGGGAATGAAGCAAGGGTACAGAAAGGGCAAGAACTTAAAATGGCTACGAATCAAAGATAAGTGGCTAGAAGTAGCTGATCTAGGGACAGGGGGAAGAGACTTCACAAAGCAATCTCTTTCCAATTTAAAGAGCTTCCAAAACACAACTTCCACACATTTACCTCATATTTGAAAATAAGCTTACTTTACCGTTCAATGTATATGTTACATACTGGTCATTCGGATCTTTCTATTGCAATATGATAATAATGATAGACAGGAAAAGCCAATACATTCCACTTGAATATCAGACTCCCCTTGGCAACAGCTTTGCAGTCCTGACAAATCCTGAATACGGTACAGCAACAGAGAGATTAAAGTATTGCACTTATAAGGACACAGACAGATGTGCTCTTGGAAGTCTAGCTGGAATGGCTTAAGAAGTTATTACCTCAAGCTGTTCATTACTACCCTCAGCTGCATCCAACAGTAATTTAAAATAACCTGGCTGACTTTGCACTGACATGGACTAGGATAGTTCATATGATCCATCACTGTGGCTCAACTCTGAGGGCAGTAACCTTCAGCTGAGAGAAAAACAGCTGGAGAATGACAGCAATAGCTTAAGCCCCCCAGATGTCTCCAAAGTGTTTGGGCAATTATGCCACAAGTGTCCACCCCCATAAAGAAAGTCAGTAGCCCCCCTACCCCCATCCAAAAAAAAAAAAAGACTATAGACATCTCTAGGCAAATGATTAGGTAGTTTCTCTATGAAATTACCCAAAGCGATATACTACGGGAGAACAAGTTTCTCCCAGTTTTCAAAAAGTTCTCTTCTAACATCACAACATCTCTTTTACAAAGCGAGCTGGAGAATATTCTCAAAAGCTCTCCGCATCCCGAAATGTCTTTAGCTAAGAGCAACCCCATTTCCGTGCACGCTGCCCAATATTTGATTTGTTCAGTGTTCCTGAATCAGCTCTGCCATTATGTAGAAGCATTAACACCGTCCTGAGCAGGTCTGAAAGTACATGTAGACAGGCAAGGTTGTACCAGAACTGTCCATGCCCACAAGACTTTTTTGCCTCCCCAGGGCAGCCTCTCGCTGGAATATATTCTTTAGCCAAATTAATTGCATCTTTATCTTTAGAAATATGCATACACAAAAACAATTGAGACTACCAAACCAGTTGTTTTCTACTTCCAGCCAAACACGGATGGAATTTTGAGATGAGATCTGCATCTTACAATATACAAATTACAAAAATCAAAACTGCTTATTATCTCAAGACAAAATTTTGACATTTTTTTCAAAGCAATTATATCACAAATGAACACACCTATCAGAATTATAGAATTTTTTTTTCTACCCCCAGAGTTTGCAAATAGATAGTTTGAATGACTTTCCAGTAACAAAGTAAATCCAGACTTGGTCAATCATATCTTAGTATTAGTCACAACAAAACATTACAGATGCTTTTCAATTCATGCACATTTGAAAGCTGGTTTACATCAGGCTCAAGAATTCTAGAACACAGTTCACTGCAGATATGAGACATAAGCGTTTGCCAGCTATAGCAAGAGCCACAGACACATGAAAGCTAGTTTTAAATGCAAACAGTATGTGCACAGGAGAAAAGTTAATTCCCAGGAAAAGAAAAGCAGAACAGCATTTGTAGCCATACAAATACATCATCAAATTGGTATATATCCAAAGATTCAGTATCTATGTTGACAGTCTGCACAGATTATCTACCTTCAAAAGAACTGCAATTAAAAACAGCATGGTGAGTCAACACCTACAGCATTAGTGTGCTGCAGTTCAGTACTCACTGCTTATGGGTTAGACCTTCTGGAGCAGCTCAATATGCCAGGCAGGAACTTCTCTGCAAAGCCATTAAACCCCAGGGGCAGCAAAGAAAAAGAAAGGCAGAGTTCAGATGGTTCATATTGATGACATTGGAACGGGCAATGACAAATGTTTTCAGTGGCATAATCAACCATCTCAGCTGTTAAATATCAATCCAAAGCCTCGTATAATATTTACTTATCAGCACACCGACAATGGAAAACACACACTCACACAACATACAGCAATGTGAAAACAAAACAAAGGCTGCCATTTACTCCAACACACATAAAAAAAAAAAAAAAAAGATTTTCTGAAAGGACAGTGCTATTGGACGAGTGACCTTGTGAGCTAGATGACTTCAGTTCACTGCTAGAGTTTCAAGGATTGCTTTCTCTCTCATCCTTTTATATGCTTTTTTAAGGCATCCAAGTCAGTCTGAGGCTGCTATGCAAGATGAGAATCTAAACTTTGAGTGGGGTTTTTCTGCCTTTTCGTTTCTTTTACACAGTCACTTATGTCGCTGCAGATCCACCAACATGAAACTAGAAGGAAGAAAAATACGGCATTTTTTTTATTGGCGAGAGTAACTGTGTTGACCAACAATCAGCCCCTTTTTGAAAGCGCAGTATTTAGTTAGAGCAAGAGCTCTACAAAGAAAACACATGAAGCACTTTATGTGCATCAAACTTGCTAAGTATTATCCGAGAGTCATGACAATACCTGCCAGGTAAAACATATGTTTGACAGCTCTTCGTTACTGCAAAGCCCTCCTCTCCTTGCTGGGATTTCCCCTTTACAGCAGGCAAGGGCTCTCTCACCAGACGTTCCTAATGGAGCAAACCTGCATATTGCTGTTTTCTCTGTGAAGTCAATCTTGTTCACCACATCGCTGTTTTACATTAAATACTTCCCAGTGACTCCAGCATTCACCAGAAACTCATACTGCCAGCCAGGAACAGCAAAACATAAAATTTCTTTGCTCCCGATAGCCTTTTCAAATAGATCATACTTCCGTAATAGCTATTATTTCTTGAGGCGATTCTATTTGAAATGCTCAAAGCTCTAAAGCATCAAACAAACAGTCCTGGTCATGACACAGCCTCCTTTCCTTCCCCTTCACAGGAAAGACACGGTCACAGCCGCCAAGTCTACTTAGAGCAGGTGACTTTTAGGGAAAGCAATAAATTTCAGATTTCTAGGAACGTACGGTAAAATCGTGACTGTAAAGGTGACTAAGGCACAGGGAAGCTAAAATTCAAAGTCAGTCCTGGCAAGGAGAATTGCGTGTTTCAGACTGCAGGTCTTTAGGCTGACACCCAACATTTCTACTGTTGCAGTTAGGTTGGGGATGTTCGACACGCTTGTGAAGCGGTTATCAAATCACCACAGGTTTTAACCGGACATATTAAGATAATTCCCAGATTTCCCTCACAGAAGTCAGCTTCACGCTTAACAGCCCCTAATCCAGAATTACTACAGTATACATCTTACATGTACAGTATCCAGAAAGCCAGTTTTAGACTGGTAATTTACAATCTCCACTTGTACATAATTTAAGCTGGTATTCAGAAAGACATCCATATTTATGGGTAAATCAAGTCAAATAGAATGGTATTATCTCCAAGGCAGAATATAAAGTTAAACCCTACTTGAAGGTACTTCCATCTGTCAAAAAGAAACCATTTAACTAAAGGGTGACACAAAATTATTATGTAGATTGAAAACCACAAGGTGAAGCAAGCTCAGAAGGTCAAATAGCAGAGCAAGTTAAAGGCAGAGGATACTTCAAGCCAGCTGGAAAACCCCAGAGGCTACAGAATGATTGCATGCAGACCTGGCCTGAAACAAGTGTAGGTAAAAACCACTCCTGTAACAACACAGCCATGAAAGCAGTAACAGTGACATAGAAATTTTGAAAGAGGAAGACATTTACAGAAATGGGAAATCTTGGAAGTTATAACATATCTACACTTGAAGCAATAAATAAATCACATGTAAGGATAAAAAGAAAAACCACATTTAAGGCTATTCAAACCATCATCCCTTACTTACGCTGCCGTGCCCACAAATCTCTCTAGCAAAAGAAACTACCTGAGCCTTTGCATAGACGCCCATGCAGACCACGAAGTTCTTAACTTCAGCGAGAGCCACATCTGCATCGCCACTTAAAGATGAATAATGCAAATTGAGAGCCAGTGGAAAGCATCAAGTATCAAAAATAACATACATCAAATTCTGCATATTGATATGTAGCTAATTAATAAAACTAAGGGACTAAGATTCTTAGCCAGCCCCTCTGCTTGCTTCCCTGTTTCCATTTATGTTACTTCCAGTACATTCTTCTGAAGGTATGACCTTAGCTACTCCACTAAAAGCATTGAAAATTATTTACTCCAATTTATGCCCTATTCTACCAGTTACTCCTTTTCTTTCTTGCCATTTGGCAGCATACCAATGCACGGTACCATTCAGATCAATCGTCTTCTACTCTGTCTCTTTGGCCAGTAGGGTGGAGGGAGGGGATTCTGCCCCTCTGCTCCGCTCTGCGGAGACCTCCCCTGGAGCCCTGCGTCCAGCTCGGGAGCCCTCAGCACAAGGAGGACATGGACCTGTTGGAGCGGGGCCAGAGGAGGGCTACTAAAATGCTCCGAGGGCTGGAGCCCCTCTGCTATGGGGCCAGGCTGGGAGAGTTGGGGGTGTTCAGCCTGGAGAAGAGAAGGCTGCGGGCAAAGCTGAGTGCGGCCGGTCAGGGCTTCAAGGGGGCCCAGAGGAAAGGGGGGGACAAGCTTTTTAGTAGGGCCAGCTGTGACAGGACAGGGGGGGATGGTTTTAAACTGAAGCAGGGTAGGTTTAGAGTGGATCTAAGGAAGAAATTGTTTCCAGTGAGGGTGGTGAAACCCTGGGAGGGGTTGCCCAGAGAGGGGGTGGAGGCCCCATCCCTGGGAACATTCCAGGCCAGGTTGGCCAGGGCTGTGAGCAACCTGATGTGGTTAGCGGTGTCCCTGCAGGGGGGTTGGGCTGGGTGGGCTCTGGGGGTCCCTTCCAACCCAAAACATTCTGTGATTCTATGATTCACTGGAAGTTTGTTTTTCCCTCTCCCAATAAATGATTTTATCAATACAAAACCACATCTAGAGAATGAAGTGATATTCTAGCCATAAATCTCAAAGACAAGACTGTTAGATGTACAGTAGTTGATTGGAATAGCCGGAATCTAAAAAAGACAAATCTCAGCCTGAAGGTTCAGGAACAAATTACATGTGGAAATTTTGTGCATTCAAAGAGAGTTAAAAAGAAGCGTACAGAAATGTGCCTGATCTCACCCCCCCCAATGAAAGCAATTTTCTGCCAAGAAATTTATATAGGCATACCTAATAAATACTGAAGGTTTTGTAATAAAAGCCTAAATAAAAGCAGATTACCAGGACTTCCTAGCTTCCCCATTCCCATCTTTAAGGGGAAAAGAAAAAAAAAAAAAAAAAGAAAAAAAAACCATAAATGCTAAAAACTAATGCTAGCTTAAATCCACACAAGTGCCAAAGGGCAATACAAAATGCTCAGCTTAGGCTATATTAGGTCTCCTACATTTTTTAAGGTATTAACGCAAATGCCCACCAGTAGCAAGAATCATACAGCTGCATCAGATTAAAAGTAGTGATTCTAGCATAGGTGTATATTGTCAATGCTTGAAAAACACCACAACGATAATAGTCACTCTTGAAAATAATTCTTATTCAGTTGTCTTTTAAGGATGGAAGAATAAGGAATTTGGAGGAAAAAATGCTTTCATATAGCATACATGCAAGAGATATTTAATTTTAAAGATATTTAAGCCACACATGCTAATTAAATGTGATTTCAAAATCCCAGATTCTGCATTTTTACTAGGAACAAGGTTTTCCAGCGTATCTAGTAATGATTCTTTACGAGTCAGAAGTTCCTATGACTTGGTAGTAGGAAAACATATCTGCTTCAGTGGCACTATAATTGTGTTGGTGATTAAACACACCATGTTAAATGTTTCTTGGTCCCCTTCCAGTATAGCAATTAGAGGGGGATCGCAGTGTCACTCTAGTACAAATGTATCTTAGCCCCTGAATGATACCTGTCCAATATTGTCAGGGGCCGTATGTTTGAGAAATGTTAATATAATATGTCATTAATTAGTTAAAACTACAAAGAAGCCTCCTCCCTATACATTCAGTACATACCGTTTCATGTATTTGGCAACTTAGGACAAGTATACGTAGGTTAAATCAATGCATCTATGGCCTGTCACCATTTCCATTATAAAGCAACTTTCCCAGGTTTATAACTCTGCTGAAGAACTCACTCTGCGTGGAATCCTGGTACATGGCAAAAGCAAAACCATAGCCCACACGTGTTTACTTTCATCCAACCAGACTAGAAGAATTATTTATCATTAAAAGAAAATTGATCCAGGTCTGCGCTTCCCTTACACTTTTCAACATTCACTTAGAGCATATAACACTTCACCTTGTACAGGAAGGAGGTTAATTAGATTGTGTTAATAAGACCCTCAGCTGTCCTTTGAAAGGTCTATATATCCTGTACACTAGCTTCTGAAGCAAGCCATTTCACTTTTCTAAATCAGAAGTCACCTCATGGATTTCATATATGCTGCGTATTTGATATTTATAGTTCCTCCTTAATTTATGATCTTGCTAATGGGATACAGGCAAGGTTTTTTGAACAGTTTAAACAATTACTCATATTTTTAGACTGAAGCAGTTCAGTTATTCTTCAAGAATGATGTATACCAAATTATTTTCAAATAAAAGAGCAGAAGCAGAGCATGTCAAATGCAGGTGGACCTACAGATAACCTGGCAACCAGAAACAGTCACGCACACTCAGAAACAGATTTTTAAGTTAAATAAAATCTGAAATTAAATATCTCGCAAATGCAGTCAATGTCCTCTACTTCATCAGTTATTCTATACCTATAGACTCACTGATAAGAATCCTAGTTCAATTAGAGAAGTGTTACCAGTAAGATTTTATTATTACTACTACTACAACTGTTTTTTTTTTT